ATGGGTCATCAGGAAGCTCGTGTTCTAGGTTGTCGGGCATAGCTGCAAAGATGTCCGTGAGGGCAGCAAGCTCCTCCTCTGTAAAGACGGCTGCTAATGCATCTTTGTCAGGAGGGTGGTCTGGCGATAAAGCGCGCATGCAATCCGCCGCCAAGAGTGATTCTAGAACAGCGCGCTGAGTGGGCGATACATACTGCTTACCGTCCATTGCACAACGACGTTCGGAGGGTACAGAGGTTCGTGAAGAATGCCGCGGTGGTTTGGGCAGGACAGCACTAGACAAGGGAGCGTCGACATCTGGAACTTCTTTGATGGAAATGGGTGCATGGTGAGGCGCAGGGGGCGCAGAGATGTCCGCTGCGATCGTCGATGTAGGGGCGGGCGTACCGTCCTGATGCGACTCTATGAAAGAGACATGGTAAGAAATGAATACTTTATGGGATTGTCAGTGGTAACACCAATAAGCTTTGGAATCAAGCACATATCCTATCAGAACACACTCAATGGATCAACTATACACTTTAGGGTTGTGGCGATTCTGGACGAGGACGAAAGCTCTACATCCGATTTCACGCAGGTGAGATAGATCCGGTTTATGACCATACCAGTGTTCAAATGGGGTATGACCGTCTTGTGAGACCACAGGAGTACAATTAGACAGGTAGCACGCGGTCAGCACGAATTCGTCCCAACGATTGACAGGGACATCGCAGGCGGAGCGCATCACCCGAGCCTTACCCATTAGCATGCGATGCAGACGTTCAATGCGACCGTTGTGCACAGAGGTATGTGGCACAGTGAATTGATGTTGAGTGCCACGCGAGAGGAGCCACTCTCGCATGGTCTCAGTCTTCAATTCACCATTATCGGAGCAATATATGCTGACCTTGGTACCGGATTCAACTTCCTGAGCGAGTGCCCAGGCTTGTAGGGCTGGGAACACGTCAGACTTAGCTGCGAGAGGGATATCCCAGGTGTAGGACGAATGATCATCGATAATATCCATGACGTATTTATTGCCGGCAGCAGACACAGTATCAGGGTGCTCCATTAAGTCCACATGAACAATGCCCAGCTTTCTGTTCGCTCTAACCCCCTGATGAGTCTTCGGGACACTAGTCTGTGTCTGCTTGCCAAGAATGCAGTCGTCACACTTTGGTGGGATGGGAGAGAGATCAATGGGCATACCGATTGCATTGCCTGAGTGAGCGAGATCGTAGACAGCACAGTAGTTGGTGTGGCCAAGACGACGGTGCCAGGACTGAAGGGTTGGCTTCTGGTGGGCCATGTGGGCATGTTCGGCAGAGAGTTGTCCCCCGGAGAGTGCATAGAGACGACGGGAAGTGAGAGTCCCGGAAAGCATGTGATTAACGTTGTGAGATTGGACCCAGCAGTTGGTGGTGTCGAATGAAGCGATGCAGCGGTGTGCTGCGCAGAGAGCAGATACCGAGATGAGACATACCATCGCCCCAGGGATGAACAGGATGTTCTCGAGTGTGATGTGAATGCCTCTAGCGACAACGAGACGCAGCATGCCCACGCCGACGGCTTGAATGGACGAGCCACCAACGCCATTAACAGAGCGAGGTGGGATTGGACGGAGCCTAAAGAAGTCGGCCTTGTCGTTGCTGATGTGCACAGAGGCACCGCTGTCAAGGAATAGAGGAACAATGGATGGGTCCACGATGGTGCTCTGACGTTGGTTGGGGGCCTTATAGGTGATACTGGCGAAGTCGACAGGGCACGTGTTGGAGCGCCAGTCGAGACTGGTGGTGAGGGAATCAACAGAGGCAAGTAGGGTAGTATACTCGTCTTCCCCAGCGTCAGATAGCTCGTGAATGAAGGCAGGCGTGATAGAGTCACTGGTGAGGCCAGCGAATTCAGTAGAGGTGACGGGGGTTTCAGTCGATTCAGGCGCTGAGGCGACGTAGATGGCCTGGTGACTCTTGCTGTCGAGTAAGTATGCACGTCCGCTAGTGTCATATCGCAGACCGCCCGGTTTGCCTGTGGCGGCTGCTGGCTTAGAAGCTGTGCCTTTTCCAGTCGCAGAGGTGCCTTTAGCCTCACGAGTGGCGCATTTACGGGCGAGAACCTCGTCTCGTTTGCCTTCCATAGCGCCACCTTTGCCGAAGCAGTCCTTCGTGGGATGGCTGGTGCTGCCGCAGGTGCCACAAGGCACGTGATCACGGTGAGTACTGCCCCCCTTGCTTGTGGCAGCCAGTGCGACGTCGCCCCCCTTAGATTTCTCGGTGTCGATAAGCTGTTGCTCGACGTCGAGGTGCGAGCGGATGTTGGACAGACCGTAGGGGTTGGTGGACATACAGGTGGCGAGGGCGTCAGCAATGTGGTTGCGTATGTGGGGGAGATCTTCGGCCATAGCGTTAAGCATCATAATGGTAAGGAAGTCTTCTTCCTTGGGGATACCGATGGCGTAAATGCGCTGAACGAGTTCGTTAAGGAGGGTGCTCGTGGTAGAGAGTCGTTCAGAACGAAGGTATTTGACCGCTAAGGCCTGTTGTATGAGTAGAATCTGGGCGATTGGGCCGACCTGTTCATGGTGGGATTTCAGGGCATCCCATGCGAGGTGGGCGTTAGTATACCTGCGAAGGAACTTGTTTTCCTTGGGACTGGAGCGTGTGCGCAAGGCAGCTACGATACACAGGTTGTTTAGGTCCCAGTGACTCGCGCTGGAGGGGTCCAGTGACAGATCAGGGCGATTAATGAGGCCCAAAATATAACCGCCTCTGTGTTTGAGGAGAAGGTAGTTTTGCATGCAGTCTGACCAGATGCCCCAGTTGTTCTTACTGCGGTCAAGGGCTTCGATTTTATCTAAGTCGGTTTGACTAAGTGTGATGGCTGTGATGGACGCTCGAAGTGCGGGCATGGCAGCCGTAGACTGCAAAGGCATTAGGTGGACTGAGTGTCGCGCTTTTAGCGCCTGAGCTCCGAGAACGGGTATGTGCAGTGGGAGGCATGAAGAAAAGAGGCGGGAGACGAATAAGTATCGACTTGCAGGTATATATACCTGCAGGCGACTGCAAATGATTCTCCTCAACTGAAGAAGGAAAGATTAAACATTTCGATGACGTCTAAAGAAGTTGATAAGGTCCCTGAGGGTTTAATAACCCGGCGGGGTCGTTCCTAAGGCCCACTGGTGTATCTAGTTAGGTAATTCCACTCCTCGTTTTACGAGAGAGCAGGGCTCATAACCTGTTAAGACTAGATACAATGTTAGCCTAAGTGTTCGTCAGTATCTAGTGGCAGTTCAAATAATCATAAAGGCTTACCCTCAGTCGTGATGGAACAGACTGAGGGAAGGTGAGAACGTGAAAAGGGTATATGTACTATGGTTCGAATTCCAAACTTCAACTCCGCTTATCGCGTCGGCACGCTTAGCATCAACATGCCGAACGGGCTTTCTCCGGCGGCAGTCTGCAAGTCAACCATCTTCAGCATGGTATCAGCTCGCAGACCTTCAAAACACAGGTCGCTGTCGGATGTTGATTCAACACACCTCTTATACCTGATCTCTGTATTGCGACAACTACCATGTTCACGAAGATGGGAAAAGACAAGGGGAAAAAGAAGGAACAGGCTGGTGCTATTGAAATTGATCCGATTGATGGTATTTTGTACATATGTTCTCGCACATTATATACCTCGTCACCCGCGGGTGACCCGTGCGGGTGTGGGTAGGGCTGTAGAGTAGCACCTACCCGCGGACTGGGTATGGGTGTCACCCGGGTGCACCTATGTCACACCCTAGTCGGATGTGATCATTCGGAGATATAGTAGGTGGTAATGTCACGTGATCCGGCGATAAGCGTGTTTCCATCCGAGGTCCAGGCACATTTCATTTTCCACACTTGCCGTCCCACTCGAGCTCACCACTTGCAGCTTCCATCTAGACTCCAGCACACACGCTGTACTTTCTTTGCGTGCCTCCTTTCCCCGTGTCCGCGCCATTGAAATCCCACTTGCTACTTTACCACCTGGTGACTTAATGCTATGACGAAGACTCCTCCAGGCTTCATTGCTTCGCAGGGCCGAGGTAAGACATGTGGGAGCTTCACCTAATAGTTCTGCAGGACAATTTCAGCTCTTATAATCAAGAACCGTACGAAAACTGTCACTTACTTGGAGGTACTTTGGAGGTACTTGACTTGTACTAATCGGAACAGATGCATCCAGAATGAAAGCTGCGATGGCGCTCACGTCTTGTTTAGTGTAGAATCGAGCCTAAGGGAGGTTGCTATTTAATTCTATACTGCGTGAGTCTTTTTAACACCCTACTAGTTGATTCTTAGTAACGCGTGTAGTCCCATCAGCCAAATGCCACTCCTGGGTCCTCCCTTCGTCGAACAAAGTCCCCATACTCGGATTAAAGTGTATCTTGACCCTGACGATGCAATGGCTAGGGCTCGAACAAAAAGATAGGACAGTATCTTCGGCCAAGTACTCAGATGCACGCCAACCGTGTCTGTCCCGTAAGTGCTTCAAGCTCATTTCAGGACGTACGTCATTTCGAGTTCTTCGAAGACGATACAAAGTACGGGTCTCTGTCTTTTGAATCCGCAGTTACTTATGCAGAAACATATATAGAATCCTGGAGATGTTGCCGTGACCTATCTGTCTGCAGCTGTATCATGAATAGGTCGACTCTTTTCTTCTCACCGTGAGTTGGGCAAATGTTGACAACGATATTTTCACAGTAGAACATACAATACTAGGTACGACAGAACATTATCTTAGTATGCCCTGTCTAATCTCTAGCAGATCAAACGCTACCAGACCATCTCCCGAGATTCATCTCTCTTCGAATCCTCTTCACACGCTACCTTGATTTCGATGGTGTGCCCCGCTGCTCTTTTTCCAACTGCTGCGATATTTTGCTATCGACGAGCTCGAACACGAGAAACTAGATGAATTTGTATCGATAGGAGTGGTGCGGCAATTTACCTCATGTTTGTTTGTTTTTCTGATAACGTGTGCAGGATGAAATGTATGATTATTGTCAACGCGTGAAACGCACGATCTGGAAGTTATTATCCGAAGTTCGGTCAGCAAGGATACCAAGAGATTATACCTTGTACCCTTTCCCTCCACCAAGGCCAAGAGATTTCTCCTTTACTAGCAATATTGAAGTGAGCTGAAGTCAAACTACGTTCACTGCAGCCCAATTCACCTCTATTGCTTGCTGCTATCGTGCACTATCGTACAAAGTTAAAAATTCTTCAGGGTGTATGTACTAGTTATTTATCAGGTATTAAACTGGTCCGCATGGCATTAGCTCAGTCCCTCAACTCACATCGTTCCTAGGAGATACCCTTCGCATCGGTCTCAGAAAGGGCTTCATTTCCCTTCTTACGGATCCAAATACACTAATCGTGTGCGTTGGTCCAGGAATAGGCATTGCACCTGCGTGCCGTCATTGAACAATGTAAACACGGGGGTCATGACCCCAGATACTACCTTTTACTTTGGGGTGCCAAATCAAACAGACGTATGTGCAAGATCTGATGGCAGAAGGATGCACAGGATATTTGGACAATAGTGGGGCAGCAACGAGGCACCCTTATCATATATCAGGGTGGGTCTAGACCGAATGTGGCGCGTGGTGAATTCTGATGATAATTCTGTGAAAAAAATGCCTACTGTGACTCGTGAAGCCGTGCAAAGTGCAGTAGAGAGGGAACTGAGGAAGAACGCCCTAGCTAATGTGTTACTGCAATGGAAGGGATTGAGGAGTGTTGGAGCTGAGAACAGTGAGCGCCAAATCGTGAAGAAGTTGATGCATTTGATAATCAGCCTCCGCAAGTAGTTCGCTTTCTGTATTGCATCAAACCTTCAGGCCTGCAGGCCGATCTACATGCACGATCTTTGTTTGACATCTGAGTCATTCTTCTAAGTAAGTGCCTATATACAGCATCGAATGATATTGACACCAAAACAAGTGAAAGATCCGTTGGTGCCAGTCCTCGGCGTAGCACCGAACCTATACATAAAGGTTCCAGCTTTTCGCCGATCCAACCATGAGGACGGGCGCTTAGAGTTGCCTTATTACAGTGACCAATTTCACCCTGCACTCTTCCCATCCCAATAGCATGCCTCAACATTCAAGAATGAACCATGGTTTCACAAACCGATCTAGTTTGGAATATATCATCAATCATATTTTTTGCCCCCTCAAGTTGCCGCAAGGGAGTGACCATTCCCTTGAGAATGAGCTGGCCTTATCTCAGGCGGTACTGGATGCTGCTCTCGCGTTCAGCGACGAGTTGCCGTCCGATACCCTGCGGTTGCTTTGGACGAGGAGCTTGAAAATGCTTCGGAACCTCAGAGATTCTATCAGATTCAACGTGATATCTGCGGAGGAAGTCAAATCTCAGATTGGCGCGATGTACAACAAAGGTCTGTCATTTTTGTGTCATTTTCATTGTTCCCGTGCTTAGTATCGACTTACAGACGCACTTGTATACGTAATTCGCGCACAAAATGCTGCGGTGGTCATAAGGAAACTCGAATCCGAGACCATATTTGAATCATTCGAACTCTCTCCCGACCCCACCGCCGTGATGGGCGCGAAGGGAAAGCTGATCTGTTCATATCCTGGACCTGCTATCACAGTTCCGGATACGAACATTGACAATGCTACCTTTCCCGCCGAGCTCGCGAATTTTCTCGTTCGCATGGATCGAGATGTCCTCGATGCAGCAGCGACGAGGACAAAAGCCAAATCCACGGTTCTCGAAGAGAGGGATACGACCCATCCTCGATATATCACAGAACTCCTGACCGGCATACTGCGTGGCCTTGGGAGCATTGCTGATGTTCCTCGTATCCGCAAGCGCATCGGAGATGATGTGTTGTGGGACAGCGTGAAATTGCCGTGGAGGCGTTCTCCACTTTGGCTTGCCATTCGCGTTTCCTTGCAAACGACTTTAGAGCGCAGTCACGGTGCTCTTGGACGAACGACGTATAAGTCGTTTATGTTATTCTCCATGATGAGGCTCACGACCTTTGCCCTCGACCATGACTTGTCGAACGACATGCTGCACTTCATGTCAGCGAAGATTGCACGCCGTCTTTTCAAGCTCGGATCCTCTGCTCCTTCGGAGTTATCACAGATGGTCAATATGGTCACCAGTGACGTTAGGAGCCTCCTGGAAGACAGATGGAGATCTGTTCAAGACGCACAAGAGGCTTCATCTTACTGGGCTCCGGAGACCCTTCGAGTCTTGCGAGATACCCATCTTTGCTTGAACACGAGCCGCGCGTATATTTGCCAAGCTCTACAGAATCAGAATACATCTTCCCAAACAACCTCTTTCAATCCCAGCCACCACACGCGCGGAACAATCGGTCACTTCCTTGACGCTGACGCTGGCTTCCTTGTAGCCGCACACGTTGCGGAACCTTCTCTTGCCCTCGCAGACTTTGAGATGGCCATTAGATCAGGAATAGATGGCTGGGTGGCGCGTGTTTCATTTCAGAGCATTGATTCCGCTTGTATCTCAATTGAGGCGTGCGCCTCCGCATACTCCTCGAGAGCACTGAAGGCTTACGAAGGAAACCCGGAGAATCTATCTATCATGCTTATTACTCTTTTCGACCTCTGGGTAGCTATGGACAAGATTGTCGTTCGACAAATCCCACTCCTGGCAAAATATTCTCCCGAAATCCCAATGACCCTTTGGGAGCATTTACTGATCCGCCAATCTTCAGCCCTTGATCGTTTCAAGCAGTTGCACACCTACCTGGAATATCGTCATCGCCAGGCTTGCAGCCGTCTGTCGGAGTTCTCGTCTACCAACGATGACAAGTCGTTCGCAGTGCGGTATTTTTACCAGTCTCCAATGCTACAGAATTTGAAGCTGGCTGTCGAGGCGGGAGCTCAGAAAGAGCGGGAGAAGAGGTTGACTGAGCTCGAGACCCTCAATAAGAAGTTCGCTGACCTACAGATGCGCGCAGAAAGCTTATCGCATGAACACACTGTCAGCTCCCGCGGCCAGGACCGCCACGACGAAAAAAGGTGTACCAAGTGTCGCATGGAAAGGGAGACGCAATCGATGACTATCGCAATTCACGAGTGGCCGCTACCATCGCTCGAAACAGAGGCAATCGCGATCGTGTTCGAGCTAGCATGCCCCATTGCATTCGACATGTGGAGATCTATGACATTCCATGTCCTCATTGACGTCTGCACTCCGGAGAAAAATTCGCCCGCTCCTCCCTTCACGACGCTGCCGAGATATGGCGCCTTGAAGCGTTATCACAAGCGCCATCCCAGGCAGAGGGTGACTTTGGCGTCAGATGCCAAACCCTTCAGCAACTCGCATTACAGCCGCACTCGCATTCCCGCCGTGTACGACAGAGTCTTTGTAAACAATGGGCTCGTATTTCGGCCCTTTGATACCACTACAAATGTGTGGGTCGCCGACGCAGCGCTGCGCTGCGATTCTAGCAAGTTGTGCACTTTTATTCTTCCCAAGGGACCATATCACGATTTGCAGCAGTACCTCGCGCAAACGTCCCATGCGTCGAATGGGGTCATAGCCAACCAGGTTGATTGTCACAAGGACATGACCATTCACGAGTTCATCGCATTCGGAACCTTGCGGAGTGGACCGTTACTACAATGGATGAATGTGCTACGCGAACTGCGTGCGAGGACGCTCAATTTTCGACGCGAGGAAGTCTACCTGCTATTAGCGCAAGCCGTGTCACAGGTTGGCCCACTTTCATCTGACGAAGGCCTCCTGTGGCACGAAGAGCTGAACAGCATGCCCTTCCTTCATACACTGCTTGGAGAGCTGGAGTCTTTGCTGGCAAGTGTCGAAGAAAATTGGTTAGAAGGTATCACAATCAGCATCATAATCATGCTTGTGTGCCGTGCCTTGTCCTCGACTCAGGCAGAGAGCATCAAAAATCGTGGATATTCGCTGCTTCGGAGGATCCGAACTACGACCTTCACCTTGCTGATGCAACTATCGACGAAAATGCAAGCCAGTGACGATGAGACAGTGAGTCGAGAGTTACAAGGACGTGTTCGTGATATGGCAGTCACCTGTCGAAGCACCTTTGGTATTGATGAAGATGCATCACTGCTCCTCACATCGGATGATATCAAGGTTTTTGCATATTGTGGCGTCATGATTTATGACAACACTCCAAGTCAACTGGGTGAACTTTCCCAACATTCCAAGCTCCTGCTAGAGCGAGACAAGAGATGCTGTCACGCTTTAGAAGCTACTATTCGCCGATATGCAGAGCTTCATAGAGAGGGTCTTGATTACGCGATTGCCGAGATCTGGGGCAGCTACAGACAAGGAACTCCTTGGAGGGCACTACCAGCTCCAAATTCTCGTTGGCTTGTGTCGCAGACCGCACCTTCATGCTGTCAACTATCGCAAAATGTGCATTTCAACCTGGTCAGTGGGTCCTTGCTCGTTGACGGGAAACAGCTAGGTAGGCTCCCGTCAATGATAGTGCAACATCCCACCTACAGATCAATTTTCGGTGATGTCAGTCTTTTATAAGTGGCAACTCTCTTCGCACACGCTGACAAAATTACAGCAAGTCTTTGATATCGTTCCGGCGGATATTCCTGGAATGGATTATGCGACACGGGGGAATATTTGTGACCATCAGGTCAGTCACTGGTCGACATCGCTCAGCAGCTAACATAACGCCTTCCTGAAGGTCTCTTTCACTCTACGCAACTCAAATCATCTCATTATTCGTGCAAAGCATATTGACCGAGACTCGCCTGTCCTTCAACTCATTCCGAGCCAACTTTTTGTCGATGATCTACCAACGACCTTGATAACAGGCCATACTCATTGGCTCAACCTGCGCACGAGCGAAATTGAGATTCGACCAGCAGACAACATGTGGAAGTCTTCTCCTGAAAATTGGCTCCTGCAATTTGCTGCTTTGGGCCCCTCGACACTGCAAAAGGCTGGTAGTGCCACTCTTCTTGACATACACAGCCAAACGTGGGATATGCTCTCCAAGAGAATGGGTCCTCTGGAGGATACCCGCGACATTATGGTCACATGTAGCGAAGCATCCGGCGGTCCTTTCTCCTCGCTGAAGGTTGAATTACCTCGATATGGTCTTGAATTCTTTATCGACGAGGATGGGGAACTGCAGTCCCGCAACATGCGCAACATGGTTGTCGACACCATTCAGTCGACTGGAACGATGTTGGGATTGGTTAATCAGCTGGTCTTGCGCCCAAAGTCGCAAACTGCAGATGAACATCCACGCACCATCATCATCCCAGACGGTCGTGTCTCATACTCCCCCAACCACCATCACATCCGGGTTACCATCACTCCTGAAGGCTCCCGAGTGACATACCACTTGTACAGGGTTGACACAGATCTACGCTGTCTCACTGGGAATGTGGGCCTGACAAGTAAGCTCTATCAGGCATTCCTCCACGCTGTTACCAGCGGCTGTATCCCTGATCCCCTGACGGGTCGAACAGGGACAGAGGAAGCATTGCATCTCTTACATTCTGCAGCTTGCCGGTCTTTCATGAAGCTTCGCTCTCGTGATACAGATCTTTTGCGCAAGATTAGTTCGCTGTCAACCAAGCGCGTCTGGTATCCTACTCATCTTCGGAAGATGCAGACAGTGTCATGGTTGTGCCTTGATCCCCTCGCGCAGCACCATGGTTTCCATCCAGCCGCGAAATTGATCATGGACTACGGCATGCGACTTTCAACCTTCTCAGAAGGGCCTTCAAATATTCATCCTAGCTTTGATCTTCCGTCATTCACCGACCACCTTCTTGATCGCGCGTCCATTCGTGCCTCCGTGCTCTACCCGGACCAGTTCTCTCTTCCACCTCCGCTCGGCGACACGGATGTCATCTATGCTTCGCGCGATGTTCCCGATAAGCATGCGGAAGAGAGGGCATTTCGCACCTCCTTCATGGTATACCAGTGGCCAAGCAAGCTTCCGGTGCAACAGGATCTCCTTAGTTTGTTAATGCAGTGGAAAGATATCCAGGGCATCGGTGAATCACTTAGCTTGCGCTACTCCAAAGACTGGCTTCAACCGAATTTTCCTGATATCTTCCTTTCTGCATACGACCGCTGTCGTACTGCTACGAAGAAAGACAAATTTAAGTTGGTGTTCACCCTGGCTTCAGCATCGTACGGCTTGCTGGACGACCATGCGCTCGTCCCGACGCTCTTAGCCTTCGCCACAGTTCCCAAAATTCGCAGCCTGGGTGACCTACCGAACTTCGCCTCCTATCACCTCTCCGACGGTTTCACGCCATCCAATGCGATATTAGACAGCATAATCAGTTCGTGTACCAAAGATTATGAAAGCAGCGTGGAGAGATACCTAGTTCGATGGCCATGGGAAGATGAAAAGGCTCTGGGGAAGCGTCGTTGTTTAGTGTTCGAAGCTAAGTGTCAACACGACCAGCAGCTTATTCTCAGCAAAGTTTGGGACGCTTGGCCATGCGAAGATCCTCCGGCACTCAACATGCTGCAAGTGACCTGCTACGATCTCAATGAGCTGTCTGCAACACTTCGCCCAGTGTTTCGCAGCTGTTGGCAAAACCGTCGTTTGAAGCAGCACCTGGATGTCCTGCAGTGGAACCTCACTCTAGTTCACACTCCCAATACTCCGTCGGAACTACCCTCACAATACGATCTCAGTTCCCGCCTTGAAGAGTCGGATATTGCTTTATCGGCCTCATTCGTTCATGCCCAGTACCTTTTCGATAAAGATTCGCCTCCCATACGCATGTGCGGTTCTTCCCAAGTTCTGCCCGATTTCAATCAGAGAGATGCGGTATCTTTGGACTCCGGAGTCACAGCGAGGTTGCAAGAGCTGATCAAGAACTTTCGCGACGGAGGGAGTGACAAATTCCGTCATAAGTACGCTAATGATCTGGACCAAAGCAGGTCAAATTTCTGTGGAGAGAAGCTTGTTACTCCACCCGATTCTGCGCCATACACAACGGAAGTACTTCTCGAGTATCATTCTCTCCACAGCCAACGATTCCGAGATTCACTCGCAGCTATCGCATACACCCTCTCTCCTACTTCTGCTGCTGAGAATGCACTATACAATGCTGGTTTGTGGCCCCGAATTACTCCAAACTTCCTCTTCACTCGCATGGCATCTGTGTCACAAAATTGTTTGGGGAACGCTTGGCGTACGACTCTCGTCCGCCTGTCGCAGATCCTTCTCCAACTGCAGCGCTCCCGAAGGTTGTTGGTCTTTGCCGCTAAGAAAAACTGGGTGGAGTTCTTCAAAGAATTGGAGAATGAAGAATGCGAGGGATTTGATTCCGAGCAGTACACCGATTGGCTTTTGATACAGGTACGTTGGTTGTAAAAGCAAATCACTCGTTAACAGCTATTGATGATGGCCCATGGGTGTGTTTAGATTGAAAGTCAGTTCTCGGCCCGGCCTGTCCAGGTGAAGGTTGCGATGGAGATGATGTCACCATGCACGGGAAGCAATACTTCTCTCCAGCTCAACATGGGCGAAGGGAAATCCTACGTCATTGTTCCCCTCGCAGCCGCTGCACTTGCTGATGGTCATAAATTGGTTCGAGTCATTGTGCTGAAGTCGTTGTCGGCTCAGATGTTCCAGCTCCTGGTCGAACGACTGAGCGGCCTTGCACAGAGGCGCATTTTCTATATTCCATTCTCCAGAGCGCTCTCTATCGACGCATCCAAGGTGCAAATGTATCGTGACCTGATGCAGGAATGCATGGACACCAGGGGGATTTTGGTCGTGCAACCGGACCATATTCTGTCGTTCCAGCTGATGGCTGTTGACCGTCAGCTGTCCCTTCGGACCGAAGCTGCTAAAGAGATGCTGCAGGCTCAGCTGTGGCTCGACGATCATACGCGCGACATCCTGGACGAAAGCGATGAAATTCTGCACGTCCGCTACCAGCTGGTGTACACCGTCGGTCTTCAACGGTCGCTTCAAGGTCATCCTGAAAGGTGGACGACTACACAACAAGTTCTGACTCTTGTCGCGAAGCACGCTGCTCGACTCCTAAGCGAATTCCCCTCTCACTCGGAAGTGTCCATTCGTAGGCACGGAGTGTTCCCCTTCATTCGAGTTCTGCACCCCACAGCGGGTGAAGAATTGGTTCAGTGGATCGCACAGGATGTCATTGACGGGGCACTTGACAACATCAGCTTCGATCAAGCATCTCTGCAAGTGAAACAAGCTGTCCGCCAGTTCATCGCAGTTGAGGAGATCTCCGATGACTGTATCCGCTTGGTGGAAGATCACTGTAGAGACACCACCGTCTGGCCTGGCCTTCTAGTCCTGCGTGGACTGCTGGCTTGTAGTATCTTGGTGTACGCTCTCAAAGAACGTCGCTGGCGAGTGGACTATGGTCTCGCCCCAAAACGAACGATGTTAGCCGTTCCATTCCGTGCTAAAGACATGCCCTCGCTGCGGGCAGAGTTTGGTCATCCAGACGTTGCTGTCACCCTCACCTGCCTGTCATACTACTATGCGGGCCTCACACTTCAGCAACTGATGGTATGCTTCGAGCTTCTACTGAAGCAGGATAATCCCGCCCTCGAGTATGAATCCTGGGTGCATGGACTTCAGTCCGTCCCAGATAGTCTACGGCACCTTAGCGGTATCAACACAGAATCCGCGGAGCAGCTCCCTGACCTTCAGCAACTATTTGCGTTCAACAAGGCAGTCATAGATTTTTACCTCTCCCGGGCAGTTTTTCCCAAGGAAGCCAAGGGATTCCCCAGTAAACTCACCTGCTCTGGGTGGGATCTCGCTCAAGAGAAGTCGCATCTCACAACCGGCTTTTCTGGTACGAACGACAATCGCTATCTGCTACCGAGCTCGATGGTGCAGCACGACCTTGATTATCAACGGAGCACGAACGCCCGAGTCCTAGCATTTCTTCTGCGTCCAGAAAATGATTGCTACAGATGCATACCGCCAGGCCAAAATGTGCATGACTTCATTGATACCTTAATCGCACAAACCCCCGAGGTCCGCGTCCTGCTGGACGTGGGTGCGCAGATGCTAGAATTGAAGAATCAGGAGTTGGCCGAAGCATGGCTTAGAGCCAAGCGCGACGCCCAAGCGGCAGTCTTCCTCAATGATGACGATGAACTCGTCGTCGTCAGTCGGGATGGGACGGTCGAGCCCCTTGTGTCGTCCCCCTTTGCCCAACAGCTTGACCAGTGCGTGGTATATCTCGACGACGCCCATACTAGGGGAACAGATGTCAAGCTGCCTTCCGGTTTCCGAGCTGCTGTCACGCTTGGCCCCAAAGTCACGAAGGACCGCCTGACGCAAGGTTCGTGACTCTAGAGTTAATTCATATCAGTTTCGATATTAACAAATGACAAAGGATGCATGCGAATGCGAAAGCTGGGAAATGGGCAATCGGTCATATTCTTCGCTCCGACTGAAGTAGATCGGAGTATTCGTTCAGCAACTCAGAAACCTGATACCGATGGTGTCGATGTGGCAGATATTTTGCACTGGGCGATGCTTGAAACCTGTATTGATATTCAAATACGTGCATTCCACTGGGTTCAACAGGGATCGGATTTCAACACGCGGCGTTCCGCATGGACCCAATTCTCGCACGCCCCTACCACTTCGATTTCCACTCTGAAGACAGCCTGGTTGCGGCCGGAGGAGCGTTCATTAGACGATATGTACGCACCACGCAGTTCTTCGCAGGTATCCCAGGTTTTCGATCCAGACATTCAAGGGAAGTGCGAGGAGCTCGGAGTTCTATCTGCTCCCGACAGGAGCATGGATGAGGAACAAGAAAGGGAGGTAGTCCACGAGGTAGAAAGAGAACGTCGAATGGAAAGGCCGCCCAGGGCACAGCCTGCACCCCAGAACCTATATGCGCACGTCCGTCGATTCATCAAGACGGGCCGAATTCCCGCGCAGTCTTTTGCGTTCATTCCAGTTCTATCCAGCCTTGACGACACCGCTGCTGAATTTCATGAGGGCGATCAGTGGGCAAAAAATGTTTTAGTCACTCGTGACTTCGCTCGTACAGTGTGGACTCTCTCTGCTCAAAAGGCGGATGATTATCTGCGACCCGTAAACTGGGTTATATCCAGTGACATTGATCGTTCAGTGCTGGTGGTCATGAGCCCGAACGAAGTCGACACACTGCTACCTGATATCCGCAGGAGCAATGTAGTTCACTTATGCATCTACACTCCTCGCACCGCAAACACGATGCAGGCATGCGATGATCTTCGCCTGTACTGTGTTCCATCGACGCCGCGGTTCATACCGCCAGAACTGATTTGCCAGCTCAACCTTTTTGCGAGCCAACTCTATTTCTCCAATTATGACATGTATCTTCGCACTTGCAGGTTCCTAGGACTCAATGCACCGGATTTAGGGGACGAAGATGTGATAGCCGACAGCGACGGGTTCATCAAGGAGGAGAATCGCTCTTCTGCTAGAACATCGTGCTCATTCAAGCGATCCCAACTTCCTGCGCTGAAGGAGTTGTTCGGGATGAGAAGGAAAGGCATGGGGTATTTTCCAACCCACCTCGGAAAGATGCTCAATGGCCGCATTCTGTCTGAGGAGGATTTTCTGAACTGAGTGTGAGGTTTATCTAGCGTAAGTTTTAGCACCTCTCTGTCAGGGACCTGACTGACTCCAGTTCTGGTCGACAGCAACTGTACACTGTATCGACACTATTCATTAGTATCTAGAACGTTCTCCGTAAATGTATTTGTAGTGGGACCTGAAACTCCTTAGGTCTCGATAGTACTTGAAGGGACGTCAAGTCCTCCCATGCGGATCAAAACACTTGAGATTTAATTCACCGAGCGATTGAAAAATGTATATTATTCAAGTACGAAGGACCCGTTCTATCCCAGACACGTTTGATATGGTTGCAAGCTCATATCCCATCAACCCAAACAGTACCACCTGCAGGACTCATTGCCACGGCGTCTCTACAAGAATGATATCAATTTCGACTGTCGAAGGCTCATTCATGTCAAGTCACGTGCGTGCCAGAGTCTAAATCAACTACGTTGTACTAGTAGACTCGTGAGTGACTTACTTGCCTAGTTATAGGACAAATTCCTTCGCTGCGTGATATTTCTTCTGATCATGAATTGTATTTCGCTATGGACCTCTGACAAACCGTAAGCAAAGCACGACGTATATCAACTGTATCCGACTCGTAAGTGCTTTACGCAAGCTTAGAACAACTGTTCCATTATTGCGGAGCTAATTTATCACGCAGGACCATCTGGTCAGTTATAATCAACAGCGATGTACGTCAGTAACGAGCTCTGGACGTCCCTTCCCTGTCCGGATCTGCCACTGCTACTCGGTGTGTCCTACTATGTGGCACGTCGAATTCTTCGGCTATAACCTCAACAGCTTCCACTTCTGCATCCTATTGATGGTAGTACTTTTTCACGAGTGGCACAAGCTCAATGGGGAGCGCGAATATGCATGTTGACTAGTGCCAACATATGTGGCAACAAACATCCTCGATGCCTTCCTACCTTACCACAGCCAGCGAGAGCGGTCCTGTAATTTTGGCCATCTCACACTATCCTTTCACTCCGTTTCCAACTCCAACACTTGCACACGAGCCACCAGTTTTCCATATGTCCGACCTTCTGTCTCCTGCTAGCGCATGCCTAATGGTTGTGTCTGTCTTTGCTCCAGCTAGGGCAGGCGCTTACACAGACAATGACGATGGTACATGGAGCCACCGTGTTTGATAATACAACCTCTCGATTTTACGTACAGATCTCCAACGTTGCTATCCAACGGGTGTTGGATGGGCTAATGATGGTCTCTGTGTTGGGAACGTTCCTCCTGCCAGAGACGCCACTGGCTCGTGCCTTCACGTCAGCGAATCACAGCACGTATGTTAATTTTGCTTGTATGTCTTCCACTCTGGGATTCACCTCTATATCCGACATACTGACTTTGTCACTAAAGGGCTTCATTTCCCGTCCTACCAATCCGAACATGCCAGTTATGTGTATTGGTCCAGGAACAGGCATTGTACGTATGCGTACCGTCATGGAAAAACGTATACACGAGCGATACAGCAGTATGTATGGCTGTCCTTGTACAGCAGTTGATCTTTAACGACCCTAGATACTACCTTACAGTACTTTGGTTGCCATTCTGCACACAATCAGCGCTATCACTCGGAGTGGGAATCTTATGCCGAAGAATAAAATCTCCGCTATCACGTTGTGTGTTCTTGTGACGGACCAGAAGGGGTCAAATGGACGTATGTGCAAGATCTGATGCAGAAGGACCCACAGAATAGGATATTTGGAAAATGTTGGGGCAGCAACGAGGCGTTCTTGTCATCTCAGGGTGGGTCCAGACCAAGCGTGGCGCGTGATGAATTCTAAGTTCCAATGATAGTTCTTCGAACAAAATGCCTACTGCGGTTCGTGAAGCCGTGCGAGGTGCAGTGGAGATGTTCAGAGGAAGGTCGAATGCCGAGGCCGTGGGGTATGTTGCTGCGATGGAGAGGGATGGAAGGTTGATTGCTGAGGGGTGTTGGAGCCCAGATCATTCGAAACTAGTGAGCGCCGAATCATGACGAAGTTGATGTACTCTGATAAGCAGACTCCACAAGTAGTTTGCTTTCCGTGTCGCATCAAACCTTCAGGCCTGTAGGTCCAAAATTCGACCCACATACACGATCTTCATTTGAGATTTGAATCGTTCATCAAGTAAATGACCGTGTACAGCCTGTACCATCATTTCCGCACCTCCTCGGGCGATATGCTTTGCGGTCCACCTAATTTGCGTACACAGGTTCTAGCATTGCGCAGATCCAACCCTGAGGACGAGCGCTTAGGAGTTCCTTATCAGTGGCCGAAGTGTACCGTCAGTGACCGTTGTGCTCTTCTTTTATCCCAACAATATGCCTCAACATTCAAGAATGAAACGACATCTCATAGACCAATCCAGTCTGGAATATATCATCAATCATGTATTTTGTCCCCTCAGGTTGCCGCAAGGGAGTGACCATTCCCTTGAGAATGGCTTAGCCTTATCTCAGGCGGTACTGGATGCTGCTCTCGCCTTCAGCGGCCAGCTCCCGTCCGATAAGCGGCCCCTTTGGGCGATCAGCTTGAAAATGCTTCAGAACCTCCAAGATTCAATCAGTTTTAGCACTATGTCTACAAAGGAAGTAGAACATCAGATCAGCGCTATGGACAACAATGGTCTGCCATTTTATGTCATTTGCATCTTTTCCATACTGAGTATCAACTTACAGATGTCCTTGTATACATGATTCGCGAACAAAACGCTGCGGTGGTTATGAGAAAACTCGAATCCGAAACCATATTTGAATCTTTCGAGATCTCTCCCGATGCCACCGCAGTGATGGGCGCAAAGGGAAAGCTCATTTGTTCGTATCCTGGACCTGCTATCACAGTCCCGGATACGAACATCGACGATGCTACCTTTCACGCCGAGCTGGCAAATTTTCTCGTTCACATGGATCAAGATGTCCTCGATGCGGCGGCAACGACGACAAAAGCTGGGTCCACTGTTACTGAAAAGAGAAATACAACTCATCCTCGATACATCACGGAACTCTTGACCGGTATACTGCGTGGCCTCGGGAGCATTGCTGATGTTCCTCGCATCCGCAAGCGCATCGGAGATGATGTGCTATGGGACAGCGTAAAATTGCCGTGGAGGCGCTCGCCCCTCTGGCTTGTCATTCGCGTTGCCTTACAGACGACTTTAGAGCGCTGTGCTCTCGGACGAACGACGTACAAATCATTCATGCTATTCTTTATGGCAAGGTTCACGACCCTTGCCCTCAACCGTGACTTGTCGAATGACATCCTACACTTCATGTCCGCAAAGATTGCACGCCGTCTTTTCAAACTTGGATCCTCTGCTTCTCCGGAGCTATCGCAGATGGTCAGTACGGCCACCAGGGACGTGAGGAGTATCCTAGAGGGAAGATGGGAATCTGTTCAAGACACTCAACGGGTCTCGCCTCATTGGGCTCCCAAGACCCTCCGAGTGCTGCAAGATACCCATCTTTCCTTAAACACCAGCCGAGAGTACATACGCCAAGCTTTGCAGAATCAGCATTCGTCTCCGCAACCAGCCTCATTCAACCCCAGCCACCGCACGCGCGGGACGATCAATGATTTCCTTGACGATGATGCTAGCTTCCTCGTAGCTGCCCATGCTGCAGAACCATCCATTTCCCTCACAGACTTCGAGACGGTCGTTAGATCAGGGATCGACGACTGGGTAGCACGTGTTTCATTTCAGAGCATCGATTCCACATGCGTCTCAATTGAGGCGTGCGCTTCCGCGTACTCCTCGAGAGGGCTGAAGGCTTACGAGGGAAACCCGGAGAATTTATCCATCATGCTCATTACTCTTTTCGAGCTCTGGGTAGCCATGGACAAGATCGTTATCCGACAAATCCCCCTCCTAGCAGAATATCCCCCCGAGATCCCAGTGACCCTTTTGGAGCCACTGCTAACTCGCAAATCCTCAGCCCTTGATCGTTTAAAGCAGTTGCACGCCTACCTGAAAGCTCGCTATCGCCAGGCTTCTAGTCATCTGTCGGCGTTCTCGTCTACTGACGATGACAAGTCATTCGCAGCGCAGTATTTTTGCCGGTCACCCAAGCTGCAGAGTTTGAAGCTTACCATCGAGGCGGATGCCCGTAAAGAGCGGAAGGAGAAGTTGACTGAGCTTCGCAGCCTCAACAAGAGGTACGCTTGCCTAAAGGAGGAAGCAGCAAGCTTATCACACGAATACGGCGTCAGCTCCCGCGGCAGGAATTACCATGCACGGTCCTGTTCAAAGTGTCGCCTGGAGAATGAGATGCGATCTATGACGATTACAGTTCACGAGTGGCCTCTGCCAAAGCGTGAACAGGAGGCGATCGTGGTCGTGTTTGAGCTGGCATGCCCCACCGCGTTCGACATGTGGAGATCTATGACGCTCCATGTCCTCGTCGACGTTTGCACTCCAGAACAGATTTCGCCCACTGATCCCTTCACGACACTGCCTAGCTATGATGCCTTGCAACGCTACCGCCCATGTGATGCAGGGCAAAGGCTGACTTTGGCATCCGATGCCAAACCCTTCACCAAGTGCCATTACAGCAACACTCACATTCCCACGGTGGACGACAGGGTCTGTGTGAACAACGGACTCAAGTTTCGGTCCTTCGATACAACCACAGATGCATGGGTGGCCGATGTACTGCACCTACGCTTCAATTCTAGCAAGCTGTGCACTTTCCTTCTTCCCAAGGGACCATATGATGGTTTGCAGCAGTACCTTGCAGGAACGTCCCACACGTCCAACAAGGTCATAGCCAATCAGGCAGATTGTCACAAGGACATCACCATCCACGAATTCATCGCCTTCGGGATCTTGCGGAGTGGACCGGAATTGCAATGGATTAATGTGCTACGCGAACTCCGCGCGAGGACCGTCAATTTTCGACGTGAAGAAGTTCATCTATTGCTAGCGCAGGCTGTTTCACAGGTTGGCCCACGTTCGTCCGATGACCGCCTTGTTTGGCACAAGGAACTAAACAGCGTGCCCTTCATTGATGCACTACTTGGAGAGCTGGAGTGTTTGATGGCAAGCGTCGAAGGAAATTGGTTGGAAGGTGTCACGATCAGCACTATCATCATGCTTGTGTCTCGCGTCTTGTCCTCGACTCAGGAAGAGAGTATCAAAAGTCGGGGATATTCGTTCCTCCGAAGGATACGTACCGCAACCCTTATGTTGCTGAGGCAGCTTTCAGCAAAAATGCAAGCCAGCAAGGACGAGTCAGTCAGTCGGGAATTACAAGGACGTGTTCGTGACATGGCAGTCACATGTCGGAGTACCTTTGACGTTGACGTTGATGCTTCGCTGCTCCTCACGTCAAACGGCGACATGCAGGTATTTGCATATTGTGCGGTCATGATTTACGACAACACTCCAGGCCAACTGGGCGATCTCCCACAACATTCCAAGCTCATACTAGAGCGAGACAGGAGATGCTGTCACGCTTTAGAAGCCGCTGTGCGCCAATATGCAGAGCTGCACAGGGATGGTCTTGATCGTGCGATTGCAGAGATTTGGGACAGCTACAGACCAGGAACTCCTTGGAGGGCACTGCCAGCTCCGAATTTTCGTTGGCTTTTGACGCAGACTGCGCCTTCGTGTTCTCAATCACCACAAGATGTGCACTTCAATTTGGTTAGTGGGTGCTTGCTTGTCAACGGGAAGCAGCTGGGCAGGCTCCCGTCAATGATCGTGCAACATCCTACCTACCAATCGATCTTCGGTAGTGTCAGTGTTTGAACGTTGCGAATATGTTGTTAGACGCTGATTTATTAACTATAGCAAATTCTGGACATCGTTCCAGCTGATATACCTGGAATGGAGTATGCGACACGCGGGAAGGTCTGCGACCATCAAGTTAGTCACCCTTGTTGTCGTCACTTGGCAGCTAACATAATGGACTTGCTTGTTCCTGAAGGTGTCTTTCGCTCTCTGCGCCTCGAACGATCTCATCATCCGCGCAAAGCATCATGAGCAACACTCGCCTATCCTTCAACTCATTCCAAGCCACAGATTTGTGGATGACCTACCAATGACCTTGATCGAAGGTCACACTCATTGGCTCAACCTGAGCACGAGCGAAATCGAGATTCGGCCAGTAGAAAATGCGTGGAAGTCCTCACCTGAAAATTGGCTCCTGCAATTTGTTGTCTCGGGTCCCTCGACACTGCAGAATGCTGGCAGTGCCACTCTTCTTGACATACGCAGCCAAACGTGGGACATGATCTCCAAGAGGATGCATCCTCTAGAGGACGCCCGTTACATCATGGTCACATATAACAAAGAATCGAGCAGCTCTTACTCATTGAAGGTTGATTTACCTCGCTATGGTCTCAAATTCTTCATCGATGAGGAAGGGGAACTGCAGTCCCGCAACATGCGCAACATGATCGTTGATGCCATTCAATCTACTGGAGCGATGTTGGGATTGGTCAATCAACTCATTTTGCGTCCGAAGTCGCAAATCGCAGATGAGCTTCCGCGCACCGTCATCATCCCAGATGGTCGTATCTCGTACTCTTCCGATGGTCATCACGTCCAGGTTAACATCGCTCCTACAGGCACCCGGGTGACATACTACGTGTACAGGGTTGATAGGGATTTATGTTGTCTCACTGGGAATATGGGTCTGACGGGCAAGCTTTATCAGGCACTCCTCCACGCCGTTACCAGCGGCTGTCTTCCTGATCCCCTGACGGGTCGAACGGGGACAGAGGAGGCGTTGCATCTCTTGCATTCTGCAGTTTGCCGGTCTTTTATGAAGCTTCGCTCTCGTGATACAGATCTTTTGCGCGAGATTAATTCGCTGTCAACCAAGCGCGTCTGGTATCCTACTCATCTTCGGAAGATGCAGACAGTGTCATGGTCGTGCCTTGATCCCCTCGCGCAGCACCATGGTTTTCATTCAGCCGCGAAATCGATCATGGACTACGGCAGGCAGCTTTCATGTTTCTCAGAAGGGCCTCCAGACCTTCATCTTACCCTTGATCTCCCGTCACCCACTGATCACCTCCTTGAGCGCGCATCCATTCGTGCCTCAGCAGTCTATCCAGACCAGTTCTCTCTTCCACTTGCACTCGGTGACACAGATGTCATCTATGCTTCGCGCGATGTACCGGATAAACATGAAGAAGAAAGGGCATTTCACACCGCCTTCATGGTATATCAGTGGCCAAGCAAGCTTCCAGTGGAACGGGATCTCCTTAGTTTGTTGATTCAATGGAAAGATGTCCGGGGCATCAGTGACTCGCTCAACTTGCAATACTCCAAAAACTGGCTTCAACCGAATTTTTCTAAAATCTTCCTTTCTGCGTACGACCACTTTCGTAGCGCAACGAAGAAAGACATGTTTCAGCTGGTTTTCACCCTAGCTTCGGTATCATATACCTCCTTGAACGACCATGCGCTCGTCCCGACACTCCTAGCCTTCGCCACAGTTCCCAAAATTCGCAGCTTGGGTGACCCACCGGAATTCACCTCCTATACTTTCTCGGATGGATTCATACCGTCCGATGCGATATTGAACAACATCATCAGTTCGTGTACCAAGGATTATGAAAGAAGTCAGGAGAGACACCTAGGTGCAAGGCTCCGGGAAGATGAACAGGCTTTGGGAAGGCGTCGTTATTCAGCTTTCGAAGACAAGTGTCGCTCCGAAAAGCGACTCATTCTCAGCAAAATTCGGGACGCTTGGCCATGCGAAGATCCTTCGGCGCTCAATATGCTGCAAGTGACCTGCTACAATCTCAACGAACTGTCTGCAACACTTCGCCCAGTGTTTCGCAGCTGTTGGCAAAACCGTCGTTTGAAGCAGCACCTGGATGTCCTGCAGGAAACCCTCAATCAGGTCTACACGCCCAATCCTCCGTCGAAACTACCCTCACAATATGATCTTGATTCCTGCCCTGAAGACTCGAATATTGCTTCACCGGCCTCATCTGTCGATGCCCAGTACCTTTTCGATAGAGATCCGCCAGCGATACAGATGTGCGAGTCTACGCAAATTCTACCCAATTTTCATCGGACAGATTTGGTATCTCCCGACTCCGGAGTCACAGCGAGGTTGCAACAGCTGGTCAACACCTTTCATGACAGAGGGAGTAACAAATTCCGCCGTAACTACGCTAATGATCTGGACCAGAGCAGGTCGATTTTCTGTGAAGAAAAGCTTGTTGCCCCACCAGATTCTTCGCCAGACACGACGGAATCGCTGCTTGAGTATCATTCTCTCCATAGCCAGAAGTTCCGAGATTCACTCGCGACAATCGTACATGCACTTTCTCCTGTTTCTGCTGCCGAGCACGCATTATACAACGCTGGGTTGTGGCCCCGAATTACTCCAAACTTCCTCTTCATTCGCATGTCATCTATTTCAGGAAATTGTTTGGGGAAGGCTTGGCGTACGGCCCTCATCCGCCTGTCACAGGTGCTTCTCCAACTGCAGCGCTCACGAAGATTGATGGTCATTGCCGCAAAGAAAAACTGGATCGAGTTCTTCAAGGAACTAGAGAATGAAGAACGCAACGGATTCGATCCGGATCTGCACCCTGACTGGCTTTTAATACAGGTGCGCTTCAAGAAGAAGTCATTCTTTCACAGTCAATGATAATGGGCGTCCTCAGATTGAAAGTCAGTTCTTGGCGCGACCTGTCCAGGTGAACGTTGCGATGGAGATGATGTCGCCGAGCACAGGGGGAAATACTTCTCTCCAGCTGAACATGGGCGAAGGGAAATCCTACGTCATTGTCCCCCTCGCAGCAGCCGCTCTTTCTGATGGCCATAAATTGGTTCGAGTCATTGTGCTGAAGTCGTTGTCGGCTCAGATGTTCCAGCTCCTGGTTGAACGACTGAGCGGCCTTGCACAGAGGCGCATTTTCTATATTCCATTCTCCAGAGCGCTCTCTATCGACGCATCCAAGGTGCAAATGTATCGTGACCTGATGCAGGAATGCATGGACACCAGGGGGATTTTGGTCGTGCAACCGGACCATATTCTGTCGTTCCAGCTGATGGCTGTTGACCGTCAGCTGCCCCTTCGAACCGAAGCTGCTGAAGAGATGCTGCAGGCTCAGCTGTGGCTCGACAATCATACGCGCGACATCCTGGACGAAAGCGATGAAATTCTGCACGTCCGCTACCAGCTGGTGTACACCGTCGGTCTTCAACGGTCGCTTCAAGGGTATCCCGAAAGGTGGACGACTACACAACAAGTTCTGACTCTTGTCGCGAAGCACGCTGCCCGACTCCTAAGCGAATTTCCCTCTCACTCGGAAGTGTCCATTCACAAGCACGCAGCGTTCCCCTTCATTCGAGTTCTGCACCCCACAGCAGGTGAAAAATTGGTCCAATGGATCTCACAGGATGTCATTAGTGGCGCACTTGAAAACATCAGCTTCGACCAGGCATCTCTCCAAATGAAACAAGCTGTCCGCCAGTTCATCGCAACCGAGAATATATCCAACACTTGTATCAGCTTAGTGGAGGATCGCTATAGACGCACCGCAGTCTGGCCCGGCCTTCTAGTCCTACGTGGACTACTGGCTTGTGGTATCTTGGTGTACGCCCTCAAAGAACGTCGCTGGCGAGTGGACTATGGCCTTGCGCCAAAGCGGACGATGCTAGCCGTTCCGTTCCGCGCTAAAGACATGCCCTCGCTGCGGGCAGAGTTTGGTCATCCAGACGTTGCTGTCACCCTCACCTGCCTGTCATACTACTATGCGGGTCTCACGCTCCAGCAGCTGATGGTATGCTTCGAGCTTCTGCTGAAGCAAGATAATCCTGCCCTTGAGTACGAATCCTGGGTGTTTGGACTTCAGTCCGTTCCAGATCATCTACGACGCCTTAGCGGTATCAACACAGAATCCGCGGAGCAGCTCCCTGACCTTCAGCAACTGTTCTCATTCAACAAGAAAGTCGTGGATTTCTACCTATCTCGGGCAGTTTTTCCCAAGGAAGCCAAGGGATTCCCCAGTAAGCTCACCTGCTCTGGGTGGGATCTCGCTCAAGAGAAGTCGCATCTCACAACCGGCTTTTCTGGTACGAACGACAATCGCTATCTGCTACCTAGCTCGATGGTGCAGCACGACCTTGATGATCAACGGGGCACGAATGCCCGAGTCCTAGCATTTCTTCTGCGTCCAGAAAATGATTGCTACAGATGCTTACCGCCCGGTCAAAATGTGTATGACTTCATTGATGCCCTAGTCGCAGAGACTCCAGAGGTCCGCGTGCTCCTGGACGTGGGTGCGCAGATGCTAGAATTGAAGAATCAGGAGTTGGCTGAAGCATGGCTTAGAGCCAAGCGTGAAGCCAAAGCGGCAGTATTCCTCAATGACGACGATGAACTCGTCGTCGTCAGTCAGGATGGGACAGTCGAGCCCCTTGTATCGTCCCCCTTTGCCCAGCAGCTTGACCAATGCGTGGTATATCTCGACGACGCCCACACTAGGGGAACAGATGTCAAATTGCCTTCCGGTTTCCGAGCTGCTGTCACGCTTGGCCCCAAAGTCACGAAGGACCGCCTGACGCAAGGTTCGTGATTCCAGAGTTCATCCATATCAGTCTTCATAATAACCAACGACACAGGATGCATGCGAATGCGGAAGCTGGGCAATGGGCACTCAGTTATGTTCTTCGCTCCGACTGAAGTCGACCGGAGCATTCGTTCGGCGACTCAGAAAGCTGATACCGACGGCGTCGATGTGGCAGACATCTTGCACTGGGCGATGCTCGAAACCTGTCTCGATATTGAGATGCGTGCATCCCACTGGCTTCAACAAGGATCGGAGTTCAATGCACGGCATTCCGCATGGGCTCAATTCTCACGTACCCCCACTTTGATCGACACCCTGAAGACCGCCTGGTTGCAGCCAGAGGAACGTTCGTTAGAGGATATGTATGCACCAGGAAGTTCTTCACAGGTATCCCAGGTTTGCGATCCAGACATGCAAAGGAAATGCGATGAACTCGGAATCATATCGTCATCGGCAAGAAGCATGGATGAGGAACAAGAAAGGGAGGTATTTCACGAAGTAGAGAGAGAGCGTCGGGTGGAACGACCGCCCAGGGTCGAACCCGCAGCCCATGCTTTGTGCCCAGACGTCCGTCGATTCGTCGAGACCGGCCGAATTCCCGCAGGGTCCTCTGCGTTCATTCAAGTGCTATCCAGCCTTGTCAACACCACTGCTGCATTTCATGAGGGCGATCAGTGGGCACAAGATGTTTTAGTCACCCATGACTTCGCTCGTACAGTGAAAATTCCCCCTGCTCAAAAGGTGGATGATTATCTGCGACCCGTCAATTGGGTTATATCAAGTGGCGTTGGACGCTCCCGAGTGCTGGTGGTCGTGAGCCCGTACGAAGCAAACATACTGCTACCTGATATCCGCAGAAGCCATGTAGTTCACATGTGCATCTATACTCCTCGCACCACAAAAACGATGCAGCCATGCGACGACCTTCGACTTTACTGTGTTCCTTCAACGCCACCGTTGACACCATCAGAACCACTGATTTGCCAGCTCAACCTTTTTGCGGGCCAACTCTATTTCTCCAATTACGACATGTATCTCCGCACTTGCAACTTCTTAGGACTCAACGCGCCGGATTTGGGGGACGAGGACTTGATAGCTGATAGCGACGGGTTCATCAGCGAGGAGAATCGCCCCGCTGCGAGAGCATCGTGCTCGTTCAAGCGATCGCAGCTTTCTGCACTGAAGGAGTTGTTCGCGATGCGAAGGAAAGGCATGGGGTATCTGCCAACTCACCTCGGGAAGATGCTCAACGGCCGCATTTTGACTGAGGAGGATTTTCTTTCTCGACTGAGTGCCAGGTCTCTTTAGCGTGGGTTTTACTACCTCTCTGTCAGGGCTCTGACTGACTGCAGTTCTAGTCAACCGTTCAATTGTATCAACACCGACCTTGATGTAATATTGCATCGTTCTTCGTAAATGTATTTGTAGTCGAATCTATAAGTTTTGTTACTTGAATAGACTACTTCCATGTCAATCCAAAATCCACCGTGTTCATTCTGCTGTGCAGCTGAAAGACAGACATCCCTGATCAATTAGTGGAGGTAGTATGCTCGTTCATACAGTTCTTCGGTCAGTCATTACTCGTACAATACAGCCAGTGCCAGCGACTTCCGTCAGCTGCAAATTTATAGTCAGGAAGTTGATATAGGCAGCAAGCTCCAGACGCACCTTTTCATGCCACCCCAGAAGCACGCTTCCGCTCACATCACCCCAGCCTGGCATCCCCATACCCTTGTAAAGGTACTTCATCAAAGTGTCCTGAGCATCCTGGGAAAGCGCTTTTACAACATTGTTGATCTCTGACGATTTCGTGCTGTTGAGTATCGAGACCACCGTTTGCAACGTCAGGTTCTTGCCCAAATGTCAGCGTATGGGGGCGGTGTCATGCAACAATAGACACACCTTAGCGTCGTCGACGTTTGGCCCATACGGTGCGCTGTCCAGCGCGATGCTCAGGGCCCCTGGTATGTCTCCCCTATGCGGATGGGTAGTGCTTAGATTGGATCATGTTACAAAGTCGAGATGTGACTGTACTTGGCTAATGTGCTCCGGACTGCTGCCTGCTTCTGTTTCGCATCGCTCAAGACTTGAGCTGGATCGCGCGGATCTGGTTCACAAAGCTCGCTCTCTAGGAGGACATCTTCATCATAGGCATCAATGTCGATCTTTCTAAAAGACATGGTCGTTGGCGTGACGGTGTAAGGTGCTGCGTTTCAGTGACAATGATTGTCGCAAGTCACATGATCATAAAAGCACGGCGTATATTAGTGCTTAGATTACCCAAAGATCACAGTGTAGCGACGTCCCGATTCCCAACCAACATGAATTCTTCATACCCAATGATAATACGTTTGTGGTTAACACCGATGCAAGATATCCGAAAGCTTGTATCGAAAAATGCACGCAACGAGAAGATAACAGTCGAATTTGGCCCAGAGGAGCCCCCAGTGGAACTCGGAATCCGCCTGCTGTAGACAGATCAGTCACAGCAACACAGCCAACCAGCGCATATTTAGTGAAGCAACAGATTGTTGCTGATCTACGAAATGGAGCATGGAGAAATGAGATCATACAAGGCCCCCACACAGAATCGGAAACAACGACTGGGTCACTGGGTACCGGCTTTAGGTGGAAGATACATCCAACAGGCTGTCAAAGGGCGAGACATTTGGTCCTTGCATGCTGCTGGCCGAAGACGCTGGCGTCAGATATGCAGATGCCGGAGTACAGGGACTATTAGATTGTGATTGGGGCTTGAGAGAATTCCGGCGAGGTAGCGGGGGAGCAGCCGTGTTAGTCGATGATCGACGTGGCGGAGGGAGGGGAGGAGCGCGCTTGATTGCAAAGCTGATATCAGAGGCCGTTCGGCCGTTCGAGATGGAAGGTGCAAGCAGTTGTGGAGATGCGCCACGCGGCATATAGAAAAAATCTTCTTCGATAACTTTCGCCGGCACTAATCTCGACTCTTCCTCATCTTCAGGCACGGTACTGGCAATACTCTCCGTATCAAAGCCATATCCAGATGATAGATGGCTTGTGTCCCTGGCACGACCTCCGAGAAGGTTCCCGACATCGTCCTCGCTATCCTCGCTTGCGGCAGCACGATGCAGTTCGTCTTCAGATGACTGCACCGAGCCTTGATAAGATAGTGACGACTGTGAAATGGTTTCTGTATATGTAGTGGGGAACAATCCCTTGCGACCGTCTGGTAGAGCGCCGAGCCACCAGTCATCCAGGACTTCATGAATCACAGTGATTTCGTCACCGGCCTTAAAGGTGAGTTCATCCGATGAACCCGTGAAGTCATGTAACGCCCGGACAAGCTTTGGTTCGTGTTGGGAAGGTGGCTTCATGATCTGAATCGGCATTTTGGGTGACCCATTTAACAGTTCTTTCACCTTCGAGCTAGGTGATTTACGAGAAAAGGACCGAGAGCTTGGAGGACGAGGAGAGTCGACGCTATCTGCCTCAGGGTCGTCTTCGTTGGTAAGGGTTGCAAAGTTATCTCTATCTTTCTTCCCTCTTCCCGTCACCGAGCTCATAGCGCTCGACGCCCAACCAGTAACGTTCATCCTCTTGCCCGACTTGTCTCCCTTGGGGGTCTCTGGGGCATCAGCTGTGACATCACTGTCGGCACGTTTCCGTGTGGCATTGCTGTCGGAACGTTTACGAGACGCCTGAGACGATGGTCGTGAGATAATCTTATTCCCTGCGTCCGACTTCCGGCGCGTGGGCATAGGGGGCGGATGATCCTCGTCAGAACCATTGGATGAAGCTACTACACCAGATGCATTGGAAATTGTGGACCGCTTGGAGCGCACAGAACGAAATTTAGGATCTTCATTGGCGCGTGAAAAGACATGAGGCTGAACGCTCTTGCGTTGAGTCTCAAACTTCGCCAGAGTGGACCTGAATATCTCAAGATCAGAAGCTAATACCGGGCTGGCTGGGGAGAACATACTCGTCACACCAGTTTGCTTTCACATCCTGCAACACTTCGTAGTAATGCTTGGCGAAATTGAGCTCGAGATCCAAAAACGACGTCAACTCTCGAAGTTGCTGTATCTCGTTTTCTTGAATGGCCTGCATTCTGGAGCGCACATCTTCAGAGGTTTCTTCGCTGTGTCCCCGTCAGCAACTTGGATAATTGATATTGATGCTACTCACTAGCGCAGACGGCTTCGTTGGAGCTCATCCTCTGCTTCCCGCCTCTCTTTTTCTTTTTCCTTCTTGTTGCTTTTGATCTTCTCCAGCTTAGTGATAGCTGCGTCATAGCTCAACCTGTTGGACCCTAAGTCAGCTACTTCACAACGACGGGATCACTAGCTTTTCATACCTCCTGCTCTCCAGCTTCTTGCGCTGGTGTTCATAATCCTTAATGTCTTGAAGGAAGTTCTGGCAGGAGGTGATAAAGGTATCTTGAAACGTCAAACCGTACGCCTCCTGCAGGGTAGCAACTTTGCAATGGGCTCTGCCCAACTTGACCAGTGACGTCCCTGAACATATCAGGTTAGGTAAAACAGGTTTACAAAAGAGTGTTAGCGCACCGAAAGCAGAATCATCTCCAAACTCGTCCCCATGGGAGATCATTACAATTCCCAATGTATCGAGCGGCATAAGTTTATCCATCTCTTGTGCTACGGTCGATTCCTTCTTCTTGGAAAGCACATGATGGTAATCTTCTGAAGCTGCCTGCAGCCTTATCGCGTATGAGGTCAATTAGTTCTATGCATTTCTGCGTGAGATGAATTGACGTACCTTAGGATCCCTTCTTTTCGAAGCTCGATGTCCTGCTCGATGTCTTTGAACTCATCTGCGACGATGGTCTTGTCTCGCGAGGATATCTTCTCGCCAGCCCACTGTTTATTGCAACAGCGTTTGAGTAGAGAGTTGTGTTACGGAGCGGTGACTAACCTGCCTCAATTTCCCGAGCTATAACATGAATAACACGTTCATAACAAGCTCAAAAGTAATTAAGAAAAGTACTTGCCTGCTTACTGGCCATGACGGTAAGAATGAAAGAAGCGACGTGCCTTCGTAATGCCCTTGCAACGGGACCAGACGGCACGCCATTGTACTCTTTATCGTGTATTCATTTCGGGTGGTCTGACTTCGGAGTCAAAAAAATAAGGTGCGCAGTGCGCACACTGCCGCGCAATCGCATAGCATGGAATTGGAAACGTTGATCACCGAAAGCTCTTGGCGAAATACTCACGTGAGTAAAACAATAGAATAAGATAAGAACTGCAAAGCAAAGCAAGGACCGTAGTTCTACATACATACAAGTCTTATTGCATGCCTCGAGAAGCCAGGCGCATTCCCTCGTGGACAGCGACGGCTTCCTCAACCCAGGGTAGCCTGAAGAAATCACTCCTACGCAACTCCTCAGCACGGATAGTAGCACCCTCGCTCGGTCCACTTCCGAGCACGCTTTCCAAGTCGCGAGACTGCGACGCCAGCCACGTCTGTATGAAATTCGCTGGGTCGTTGGCGAAACTTTGAAGGAATTGCCGCTTCGTGTGTGAGTTATGTAGCGATTGTGCTAACAGCGCGATCTGCATTTCACCGACATTAGAGAAAGGGGGTCAGACCTGAGGGAGTGGACATTTACCTCGTCATCTAACTTGGTGAGGTCGGACATGCTATCTTTACTTGACTGCACCGTCACCATGATGCGGTTCTTCAAGTTGGTGTCCTCCATCTTGATCTCGATATCCCATGCAGAAGGGCGCTCTGGGGGTATCTGTGCTGGGTTGATGGAGTAATGGATGATTACAGGTTCTGGAGGCATCAAATATCGATTGACTAGCTCTGGTAGTTGGTGGAACATGATGCCTTCTCCGCCAAAGATCTGCAATCATACAATTGGTATGATAGTGAAGAGTCAACAGAATCAACTTACCGGTCTCAAATAATCGTCAGCACGTATTCTTCGACGATCAGTTTTATCTTGCAGGCCATGTATTTTGATATAATTCCACATAGCCTGGATGATGCCAACGCGACTCTCCTCTTTGATGCCCAAGACGTTACCTGAAGGTGTCATCAGGTTAAGAACTCATGAAGATACACAAGACATACCCAAGTCTGGAGCCACTTTATACTGCTCTGGTGTCTGCTCGAGATATATGATGAAACGCACTTTCGTCGGCTGGTCTCCGGTTCGCCTTATGGTGAACCCATCTAGAGGCGACTGAATGGCTGGAACTCGAGGCCACTGAAAAGACAAATAAGAACTAGACAACCTTATTTTAGCCCTGCTCGCATACCTCGACAACGTTCCCGTCTGGATACAAGGTAGGGTCACGGTCAAGCTCGACAATCATTCGTTTTATGAGAGTCGAGAATTTCCGAGGAGGAACCCTGTCTCGTGCACGTTGATTTGGAAGCTTCATAGGCGTCAAAGCAATGCATTGATGCTCGCTGAAATAGACGTGCCTCTAGTAGTCGCCCTTCAACTTTTAGGGACCATGCTGGAATGCCCTGCCCCGTCTCGAAATTTACTCCCTCAGCAGCTTCGCCAGTTTGCCACGCCTGCCCAGAAACTGTGTGGCTCAAGAATAACCGCAGTGTACGCGTAGTCTGATCATCATCTGCTTAATGGACCAATCATCAATTGTAGGAATGCGAAACGTACGGTCGGATTGCGCGCCAACGCGTCTTGCACTTCCACTTTTTTCCGGTTCATCGTCCAGTCAAGCTTCTTTTCCATCTCTAGCAAACTTTGGTACATTTGTGAGTCCTCAGCGAACTCTGGGAGCTGCGCAAGAGCATTTGGAACGGATTTGTCTGTGATTTTGCGTCTCCTTGGGATATCTCAGTAGGTTTATAAAATAAACTCGTGAGTAGCGTACTTTGCAGCTTTCACCCCGTCCATCTTGTAAGTTTGTACTGGGATACAGCGTACGACGGTCGAGACCTACAAAGACAAAATTGATTACGTAACCAGACTTGTTTGATTTCTTCCGAAGTCGAGCAGGTATCTTTGTTTACTGTATCTTGAATACCAAGTATCCTTTCCTGGTGCTACCCGACGTATTCTCTGTTTCGGTATCCAAAATATTGTCGACCTCTGAGCATCGCGTCACATTGGATAGTCATACTGTCAATTAGTTCGCCCTCTTTTTCTCAACTGGTAACTGGGATTCCGTGGTCATTGCGTGGACACTTGGGGGACCAAGCCCGATGTTTGTCTTCTAGAGGCCGCCCCTCGGGTTTCTTTCAACGCCGTGGAGCGGCGAGCTCAGGGAATTCCAAAACTGTCCTGGGTGACCGGAGAGAACCATCAAAGAAGAGATATCGGTGACACGTATTGCAATATACAGACCATTAGTCACGATCATATGCTCGAGCTCTACACATCGGCACAGAAAGTGCAGTCTGTGGTTTCACCAAACATGGCCCAGCCTTTACAAGAGCTCGAGTGATCTCCCCTCCTAGATGGACCGACTGTACTGGTGGTTCCTGACGGAAATTGAGACCACCCCAATCCTGGAGCGGAGACCTCGGCCCTCGGGGAAGTTGGTGTCACATTATGGCCCGACCAATGAGATAAATTCACCAGGATTCCAATCGCAACGTCGAAGACGCGCCTACGAATATATATCGTCGGCATCGAGTCAAAGTATAATGCCGACACCGCGGGGCTTTGGTAACTGCGATTAGATCCCGAAGGCCGAAGACCTCTCCCCAGGTATAAAAGCAGGCAGGTTTGCTCGATCATTCCTCAGTTCGAGTCGCCCATCAGCTCCTTGATCACCCAACTTCAACACTCTTTCAAAATCATCCAAAAACTTATCCTTCAGTCTTACAAAATGTTTGTTCGTATCCTGTCTATCGCGTCTATCGCTGTTCTTGCCATCGCCACGCCCCTCGCTCTGCGCGACTCTTCCAGCCAGTGCGACACCGGCAATATCCAATGTTGTCAAAGCACTCAGTCGGTGAGTTTCATAGCGCACCATCTCTGTAACTCGTACTTATATCGATACTAGGTGGACGCGTACAACAACAACGCAACTGTGCATGGCTTAATCCCCATCGTCGCCAACATCATCGGTGACCTCGGTTTCGGCTGCAGCCCAATCACCGTTGTCGGGACCGCTCAAGGTGCGACCTGTCTCCAGCAGCCCGTCTGCTGCAGCAACGAGAAATACGTTCGTGTCTGGCCTTTGTCGTCTATGTTCAATTTTTTAATGTCATATTCTATAGAACGGTCTCATCAACATCGGCTGCTCGCCCATCAACGTCATCGCCTGAGCTGTGAAGGTGGCGGAGCGCGCTTGCAATAGGGGTGATGAGCGCTAGTTTTGGACGGTCGCTATCAGTTTGTTATAGTTTTATTCGGGCTTCAGAGGTTCCCCAGTAACAAAATGTCAACGCACGCTCTTTGTGTCAAGTTTATCTGCCAACCCGTTTGAGGGAACAGTCATTCCAGTCGCCTTTAACGACATTTGCCTACTAACTCTAGCCTTCTGCAGACTCATGCAGTACCGGGCGGGTGCACGGTATCACCAAGTCACCTTGCTATTACCGCTTCAGAACCAGCAGATACCTTCACTGAGTGGCGCTTAAGATACAGTGCCATTGCAGGAAGTATCCAATGTTAGCGTTCCTTGGGATATTTCTGCATTGAATTTTGCATCCGTCTTACGTTTCTTACTGCTACTTATCATACTTGCAACCTGTTGTCCGTTTATCACTTTGAGAGCAAGTACACGTGCAGGCCCGGGTCCAACGTCTAAGGGACGGCAGGATGATATATCAGACCACCCTATGGCTCGTAGTAAACTACGCGTGTATCACTGATATCCGCCAAGGAACTCTAGGCAGCGATATATCAACAGGTACAGGTCGGGTACAGGCGTCTCCATTCCTCACCGGAAGGATGGCATCAAGTACTAGCTTTAGATGAAAACCTAGAAACCATATGGCGCAAATCGCCTAATGCACTTGGGCTGGGGCTTCCTCCATTCCTCCTCATCCTGCGAACCCGCCAGCTGCATAAGAAATCCGTGCTTGGAAGATACTCTGTCTGGGAAGGGCAACTGACCCCCTGACACATTTACGGGCCAACTAGGCAGGTAGCACATTTCCTAAGGGAAACACTAGTAAGATGTAGGCAGCACATGATGTCAGGACATTTACCTCAGGCCCGCACGCTGGACGACACCTAACCCACACGCTCCAATCTAGCCATGCCATCAAAGCACTTAATTCTTGCCTCCACGTAACTATCAGGCGAACAAGTTGCGCGGCGTCTAGAGTTGAATCACGGGGGAGATATGGATCAAGACCTGCAAGGACGCCAGTGGCCCACATCTTCGTAGTGATCCGACATATCTCGCGCGTAGTCTCTTGCGCTGCACGCAGCAGAAGACGTTCAGAAGGATTCAAGCTGGCAATATATGATGCGATAGACGACGTGTGCGCGGTCCCGCATGCTTGGAACACTGGCGTTGCCCAGGAGTAAGCTGAATCATAGGATGCGCTGGGGGGGACAATAGTGTGGAAAATGTATGGCGTGAGCATCACACGCAGCTGGGTTTGCACCTTGCTTGCTTGGTCCAGAATCGTGTCATTGCCGGAGGTGTAGTTGAGAAGGTAGTCCATTAAGTCAAGGCGCCCTGAGTAACGTTCCACGATAGCTCTGAAAAGAGTTTTCCAGTCGATACCACTGAGGTCAGCCTGATGCCGCTCTAACGTGCGAGAGACGCTACGCCTGACCACTTCGATGTCTGCGGAAGATATGCCTTGTATGCGGTGATCGCATCGCTCCTGGCCAGCGCGTAAACCAACGAGTGACGGTGCGAGCGTGGTGTCGTACAGTGAGACTATTCCAGCCAGATCAAGGATAATTCGTGTGGCCCCAGGGTATCGATTGTGCCATGACCCGGCGTGCATTGCTTTGAACATGCGGAGCTCTAGAAATATATATTAGGAAAACATGAGGAAAACGAAAATAGAGACTTGCGGAGAGTATCAGGATCTATAAAGCGGCTGACAAGGTTAGACGAGGAGACGACTTCTAGGCCAGCCGTAAAATCACAGAGCATGATTTCACTTACCACATCAAATCAGATGAAGAGTGCAATGCGAAAATTAAGAGCATACAAGTCCATTTCCATGCTGTAAACAAAGTTCGATACCATATGCAACGAGTCGATGCTAGGCAGATTGCAAACTCACCGAACATAACCATCAACAGCGTATGGTGCTCCCCATTTGCACAAATCTTTGATGCGCTGTGCGTCCCACCAGTCGGGTCTCAACTCACCCCACGCAATGATATCCTGAGTGTCGTTAGTACCATTTCCGGTATTACCCGCACTATTTCCATCAAAATAGAGGACTTTGAGGGGACGAGTTGCTGCGAGCGTCAAATGCCAACATCCTGTATCGGACGAACCTCGGCAGAGGTACATGGAGTGTTCCGGATCTACGGCCGTCCACTGAGGGCTCGTAGGCATTTTGTCGCTCAAAGCTCCATGATACAACAAGGTGCCTTTGGGAACAACACCCGGAATAATTGCATGCCCTGGTGGTCACAGTAATAACAATGTCAGATACTGATGCCAAGATCAGACTGAAGATAAGACTGACCATTCCGATAACGTGTGTTTGGCCAATGCTGGAGTAACGAATTCACAGTTTCAAACACAAAGTGCCCTGTTGCATTAGCAGGAGGTGGTTCGTCAAGCTGCCAAGGTAAGAAGTCGAGGCTATCCGAGTCCAGAGGGATAGCGGAGTTATATGATTGAATTATTCTAGACGCAGATTCGCATTCCAGTGACTGCTTGCCATCAGGCGACAAGCACAGGGGGACTTGCGCCGCTAGCGACTGTAAAACAAGACATCCAACAAGCGTCGAAAGTAGCATCCTCGTCGTCGACTATGTAACTCTAGCCGAATGATTGTCGTGACGGGTGGTGGTACCACTGCCTGACTTTCAATTCTCCGATAGTTCGGTCAAAGTTCGATACGCACTAGTATGTACATAATAAGTACTAAGAACAGTATGGGTGTGGCATGCCTTCCATATTATAATTTCGGATCCATTTCTAAGGCATCGATGAAGTTAGTAGGATAAGAAGGATATGTGGGGCTAGTCTCCAGTTGCTGACCTAAACTTGCCTGGTGGGCACAAACTTCAATTTCCCTCTCTCGTATGCGAAGGACCATGATGACGATTGGCTGGCAGGTTCGATATCATCACCGATCCTTGCGTATTCTCACTCCCCCGGATCAGCTCTACGCTTTTGGCATATCAAGCTAAAGCCACGCTCTCTATAAACCAAACACGTCCCAGCCTTGTCGTCGAAGTGGTCCAGCTTCTCCGCTGTTGACTACAAGAAGCCGTGAAGCCGTGAGCTTGAAGAAGTTTCGGAATGCAAGGAGACCTAGTTGCTGTTATCCGTTGGAGAATACCTGTATGTTTAGCCCACAGTGGTGATGAACGAATGGAACAAAATATAAACGTGCGCTATTAACCATGATGGCCAGTTGCCATCACCTACTCCAGGGCCAAATACACCCAAGACAGACTTGGCAGAGATGGATAGCCACCAAGCTGTACTGTGACTACATACTGGTGATGTACCGCGGCCCACTACCTGACTCCTTCCTGCCAGTTCCCTTCAACTCCCCTCACGATGGATTTCGGTGAGTACGTATTTCCTCGGCTTGACTTATACTAACCTCGCCTCTAAGTGCATTCGTCATCTTATGAGCCCGCATGGAATAATCTATGCGACGCCGTAGAATATAGCGGCATTTTCGATTCCGAAAAGCGCCAGCCCCATTCACGATGCATGGAGAACACACGCGTTGCGCTGAGGGAGAGTCTGAAACAGATCCTCGATAAACGTGATCACACGAACGTTTACCTTAACGGTCTCGCTGGTGTTGGAAAAACTTCTATCGCGTTCTCTATAGCTGAGGAGATGAAAGCAACGTCAAGGCTCGCTGCTACTTTCTTCTTCTCGCATAAACATGCACAACAAGCTGGTGCCATTATTCCTACCATCGCATACCAGCTGGCACTGGCCTTCCCTCGCATTCGGGGCGATATCGTGAAAGCGATTGAGAAAGACAAGATGCTCCTATCGTCTGTAAAATCTCGCAGTGATCAGATGCGAGAGCTCGTCATCAAGCCACTACAAACATTGAAATTTCGTCAAGAAACACCTTATACCATCATAATCGATGCTCTTGATGAATCCTTCGCTGCTGAAGAGGCAGCAAGACTGGTTTCGCTGTTGACAGAGACCCTCGCAGGTCCAGACTTGCCTATCATCCACCTGATATTCACAAGCCGTCCTGAGCCGCATATCCGCGCAGTCATGCAAGGCTGTGTCCATGAGATTCTCCCCACCACTGATGATGAAGATACAATACGGGATGCTCGTTTCTTTCTGCGAGCGTCATTGGACAACACACGAACATCTCGTCCTGTTATCTTCGGCCAGCCGCCCACGCCATGGCCATCGGAGGATGAATTTGAATCGCTGGCCTTCAAGGCAGGCGGCCTATTTGTTTATGCTGCCATGGTCATCAATTTTATATCCATCGCTCGTCATAATCCGAAGCAGAGGCTAGACCTTTTACTTCGCGAGAAGTCTACCGTCGGTGCTGACATCGATCAGTTTTATCGGCAGATTATCGCAACTTCGGAGAATCCACTCGCGCACTGTCGGATGCTGGCATCTATCATCCATCTCATGGCACCATTGCCGGTCGCAAAACTCCAAGATCTCTTTCACGCGGATAGGGAGAGCTTTGATATGATGCTTGAATCATTTTCACCCGTTATCTTAAACCCTTATGATGGGGTCGGAAATGTTGAGGTTTACCACGCTTCGCTCCGCGACTTTATCATGGACCCTCTACGCTCGAAGGAATATTACACGGATCATGCGCATGTTCATGACCACATTGCATGTTGTTGCCTTAGCTTCTTTGTACGACAAGAACCAACGAGCAACACATGGTCCGCCCCAGCTTACGGATTATGGACATCGTCTTATCCACATCAGTATTGGGCTCCACATCTTTCTATGGCCTATCCTAGTAACAAACTTCGAAATTTGCTCGCCCTGTTTACAGAGAAATGCCTGCAACGTTGGGTGTCACAGTCAAACGGCTATGATATATTTCTCAATACATCTTTGCGTGAGGCAAGAGATACTTGTTTATCCTTGGTGAGTGTTTTGGTCTTGTAGGGGGTGCATACGAATCATAACTTAATTAGAAATGGATCAGGGGTCCGTCGGACCTTGTGGTTGCCTGGCGTATCCATAAGGCTTTCAGAGTGGCAGCAAAGTATCACAACAGGACACTGATGATGGGCAACATCAGGAGACCACGAGTTCGCTTCTGACCCACTTATATCCAACTTTTCGCACGACATAGTGACTCAGTGAGTAGTACTGCCGAAGTACAGTAATATAGCGGCATTTGTGTTTGTCTCGCATGACACTGCGGCACTTTTTCATCAAACTTTTTGGTGGATCATATAGGTTTCATACAGGACTATGTATTGGGAGAATTGATAGGTACGAAAAAGTGTAGATTGTTGTGCAATGTTTTGTTCTGTTCTTAAATTTAGGTCCCAGTCGTGCTTCAATATGTAATGGTACACTTCATGTGACTCGGACTTGCAAGTGAACATTCATTGTGCAACAATGGTTTATATGATGTGCTTCAAAATTTGAGACTACAAAGTTTATGTACAGTAGACTATCCCATAACATATAACATTGGGACCCACCTCACACCTATACATTATCAAAGTTATACAGAAGGACCGATGTCACACATTGTGACCAAATGTGACGAACACATGTGACACTGCTCAACAGTGTTGAAAATCTAAGGTGCTAGAGTACATATCTACTTAAAAAATGAGTCTAATGCCATCTGCTTTGCATGGAGTAGCTCCTCACATTGTAATTGGGCACAGAAACAATGGATTTGCTTTAACAAATCAAGTGTGTTGAGTCCTGAGAATTGTTAGATTCAGGAATGAAGGAGCAGGAGATAGTAGAGTGAGACAATATGAGTGCAACCCAAGAATACTAATATTGAAGTGTCAATTCACAAGCTACAGTATATTTCTTTATCACTATGCTACTTACTATAAACCTACGAGCTTCTGTTAGAACATCTCAGTCCTTTACTCGAGACTGAGATGTGAGTCCCTAGTTTTCCTGTCTATGTAAATTGAGCTAACATACCCATAGATTATATTCTTATCAGGTACTAGACTAGTTACATGAGTCCTTTACTTGAGACTGAGATATTATATTCTTATCAGCTTCTACCCATTTGCATTTGATCGGCTTGCATAACCACAGGTTATGAGTCCTGACTCAACCATGGATACTTTGCTCCCCAGCAACACCTCTGCGCTCTTTAACATTCCCAAGCTCACTGAAGACGGCTTGAACTGGATAACCTATAAGGAGAGAACATTAACAGTCATAGGTGCCCGAGGTCTGATGCGCTATACCAATGGTTGAGCCATGAGACCAATCCAATTCAACATTGACCTGAAGATGAGCAGCATCAAGAAGCCAGATGGCTTGACACCTACGCCAACAGAGATTGAGGAGTTAGACAAGAAGAACAATGAGTTCTTCCAAAAGGACTCACTTGTTAAACAGCAAATATTCAGTACTATTACCAATAGAATACTCCTTCACATCCAGAAGCTCAAGGACGCCTCGAAGATCTGGACTGAGATTTGTGACATTCATGAGGGTAAAACTGAACTTGTGCAAATTGACCTATGCCATCATTTGCAAGAAATGAGGTGTGAGGAGAATGGTGACATAAAGGCTCACTTTAGTGAGATGCTTTGGCTCCATGAGTCACTGGCAGGCATGGGTGCTGCCATTGAGGACAGAGACTTCTATGCAATCCTACTAGGATCCCTCCCAGAATCATATTGACCTCTGATTTCGTCGATAAATGCTGCTGCAAAGGTTACGCAAACACCTCAGCCCATCTGAACTTATTAACATTGTGTCCAAAGAGTATGAGCATAGGCTCCTCACAGATCGACGTGGCTCAAAGAAAGGCAGTAGCTTGGCTCTAATCCAAAGGTGGTCCAGGCAAGGGCCGCAAGCCTGGTGGACCACCCCAAGCCAATGCAGATGTGACCTGTTTTAACTGTGATAGGAAAGGCTACTATAAGAGCGACTGTTGGAGGCCAGGGGGATGAAAAGAAGGCCAAGGGCCAAATCAGTGTCAGAAGAAGAGTCCGTGCTCACTGAAGGAAGGCACAAATGCTGCAGCATCCACTCCAGACTCTAAAATGAACTATGCCTTCACAACATCAGACCTCGCTGGTATAGCGGTGGAGCAGGTGCTCCAGCCAATGTGAATGCGAGGGATGAGTTGGTTCTATCTTGGTCCTCTGTCTACTGCTACTTTCCCTTTCATATGTTCTGGCTTACTAAGCTGCTCTAACCTCCATAAATCCACTGACTCTGCACCCCCTTGCTAGGGGGTGCCCCACTCCAAGTACCCCTTTGAAAAAACCCTGGCGGCATCCTTGTTGCCCTCTGAGGCTAGTTGCTATCTCTTGTCTACAAAACATCCTTGTTCATCCCTCCGTCCATCCCCCTCTCCTATGTGTTCTTCTCTCCTTTCTTCTACTTCTGGTCTGGGATCTCTCTCATTCTCCTCTCTTTTGTTGTGGCTTCCATCATCTTGAGTTTCCTCATCTGTTGTGTGCTCTTTTTGCATGATTTTGGCTTCTCTCGTCTTCCTCAACTGTTCTTCAAACACTTGTTATTCTTCGGCTATTTTTGTCCTGGCCCTTGGCATAAATGCCCATAGGCATCTGGTGTGAAACTGTCCTGCTATTGCTTCTCCCTTCAATGTTTCCAGTTTGTACAAGTTGTGTATTCACATGAAGACTCGATGGGGTGGGGACCATTTTGGTATGAGTTTGCACTTGGCTTTGAATGTGTAGTTGAGACTGCTATGATAAAATTGAACCAGTTGACCTTGACAGAGTATAACCTCACTGGGAGTGTGTTCTAAGATGCATTTGTCAAATGCGGCTTTGCGTTTAATCACATGTTGCACCGCAGCATTATACCCATCAAGCTGTTGCTGTGCCATGTATACCATATGGGTACTGACATCTGATGTGTGTATTGCTGACATGCTGTTGCTGAGGTCTGTGTGTGGTGTGTTGACGACTTGTCCGAGGAGCAATTCCTTCAGTGAGAACTTGAGAGCTGGGAGTATGCGGTGATTGAGGGCCATGATGGCATCTTCCAGGTGGTCCGGCCAATTGAGCAGGAGTCTATCCCATGACAATCCTTCATAATCGTCCTCGCCTAAGCCTGGCGCACACAGTCTCTTGAGAACATGTAAGAGAATTTTGTTTGTGCCTTCCACTAGGCCATTAATCCAGGGTGAGTATGCAGTGACAATGTGGGTATTACAGTTCCACTTAGTGCAAAATTCCTTCATGACTGTGTTGTTGAACTGTTTGCCTCCATTGAACATAAAAGTTTCAGCCACTGTGAAATTCTGGAAGATTTGTATTAGCCTGTTGACCGTTGTCTTTGCTGTCCCCATGGACTTGTACTTGAACGCCCATATGTGTTGCAAAAAGGTGTCCAAATACACCCTTAGCATGTTGCATCCTCTAGCTTTGGGTAAGGTGAGGTAATCACTTACCAGAAGCTTGAATGGGTGTTGATGTGTTATTGGCTCTAGCAAGGAATGAAGATGCGGCGCACCAAAGTTCTTACACTTGCTGCAGTCGCCTATTGCTGCCATGATAGAGACATCTAACTTCGGGCTGTATATCTGGTCCATTAACGCAATCTTGATAGCGTCCTGACCCCAGTGTCCTCCTTCGGCATGTTGCCTTGTTGCTAAGTCCTGTGCCTCCTTTTGGGAAACACATTCAACCTTGCTTCGTGCCCTGACTGCGATACTGTTGTGTGAAACCTCTTGGATGAGATCTAGTGGCGCTAAACCCAGCAAGGGGTGTTCAAAGCATGGCCTTCAGCGCTAGCCCAGCAAGGAGCTTGCCTGCGCTAAGTCTGAGTAAGGGTTGAGGCCCTTACTTGCATATGTTATGAACTCAGTTGGTTCCATGCTAGACACTTGCAAGGGGTGTTGGTCTAGTGCGACAAGTTGTCTTTCAATAAATGGCTACTTTTGGATGTCCTAGTAGAATTAAGAGTAAGATGATAGAAGTGATATACTTACTATCTAGCTGTTGTGCTATCCCTCTGTCCTGAGGCTTTAGGAGTGATACTGAGTAGATTCAAGTAAAGGACTACTACAGAGTATGTAACTGTTTATATAGGGAACATAGATGTACCGGTTGAACGGTAAGGGCATGGGGTGTGTGAGTCAGAGATAATGGATAAGCCAGATAAGCAGAGTAGGAATGATAAGGACAGATAAGCCGGGGGAATGGCTTTGATGAAGGTCGCTTTGCCAACAGATAGTGCATATGGATGATTATCATAAATTCCCAATACAAATCATTTTTCATTTCTTGGTTTTCCACCAGTTACTTCTAGTTCCTGAACCAGTCATGTGACTTCTCCTGTCACAGTTTCACCTCTTCACATATCACCCATTGTTTCTCTGATTGGCTCCCCTACTCCACGGGCTAGAACAATCTCGCTTCCAGAAGAGATACTAGTTGGATCTTGGGTTTCTATTTAGTCACCATCTGACTCATTGCTTATATATCATGATGTCATGCTGCATTATCCACAGTCATTGTACGACTCTTTTCTCATTGGCTGATTTGTTTCATACTCAGATATCTCCTATTCAATGTTATGTATATAAGTAGGTTAGTTAGCGTAAGTACTCCTTAGACTTAACCTCTTCATTTGCTACACTTGTAGTAGGCCTAGACGTTCATGCTCAATCCTATCTTGCCTTATCATCATCTGTGACCAAGTCCTAGTGGTTGTGTGCTTGCCTTTAACATTCAGTGAACACTGGTCATAACAATGATAGGAAGAAAAGAATAAGCGGTATTGAAGATGTATATGTAAGGTCTGTAAAGTCCCTGTAACATCACCTCCCATTCTAAGTTTGAAGTCACCTGGCTTCAAGTGTCAAGGTGTGTGTCATCCAGGTAGACATCATCGATGTCTAGACCTTCCATGTCATTGACTTCAAGTTGTTTATCATCTTCATCATCAAGGTTGGGGGGTTGACCTTGTCATGCATCATAAAGATGTTCAAGATGAGAGAGTTGTTTATGGAAGTTGGGGTCAGAACAACCACAATGGAGGATGTTTTGTCCATTAAGACGTGGGCAGTATGAGGTGAAGTGCCCCAGGGCAAAGACGCCGCAAATGCGACAAAAGTATTGAGAACAGC